CAAGACATTCAAGACTCCATAGTAAATAAGATTAAAGGGGAAGCTATATGATCACCTCAAAAGATACAGAAAATGTAGTTAATAAAATTTAGAACCACTCATTTTTTAAAAATGCTAGAAATAGAAATGTACCGAAAATGTTATACTTAATGGTGAAACACTGAAAACTTCTTTATAATCAGGAACAAACCAGAAAGGCTTTGTCTTTATCACCTCTTCGATTTAACATTAAACTGGAAGTGTTAGCAGTGCAAAGGGTGACAAAACTCTAGCATTACTTGCAGATTACATGACTGTGTCCATACAAATTTTGAAAGATTATACAGAAATATTGTTAGATTTAATGAGGTTAAACTCTACTCATATATTATCAAATATTAGTTAAAATTTAGGAAAAGATAGCATTTACCATTTGCCATACAAAAATATGTTCATACAAGTTCATATGTTCATACAAGTCCGCTAGAAGACCTGCATTCAGCATATGATGGGAAGAAGCTAAAGAAGCAACAGATCATCTGATTGACCCAAGAGCAGGACTCCAAAGACCTCACGGGGACTCACTGGGAATCTGAACAGGTCAATTTGATAACAGCAGCTAAAACTTGGAAGAATTTTTACACACCCCAATTCACTTGGAAGGGCAAGGGGTCTGTGGCAGATGTGAAAAGGTCAGAGAACTCTTTCAGCTTTCAAAGGTAACTGGAGCTCCTTTCCAGGAAAAAGTCCTCCACTGTAGAGACACTGCTAGATGTATAATCCAAACTGAGAGGAGAAGAATCATAGGAGAAAAGGAAAACCAAAGTCCAGAAAAAAAAAAAAAGCAAAAGAAATGTATCTCAGGAAATATGAAACAAATATTTTGTATCACTGTATGATAGCAACAGCAAAGGGAGCTTCAGACCCTTGAAAACCTACTCCATCCCGATAGATTAGGAATGTTAATTGCATATTAAAATAATCAAACAAAATGGATCATGTTTGTATGTCATACAGAGTTACAATAAGAAAAAGAGAAATAAGATGTAAATAAAATCCCTACAATAAAGCACACCAGAAAGACATCCCACCAAAGGAATAGACCGAACCCTTATGTTTCAAATTAGAGCTAAAAGAAATTAAGAAAATGATAGAGACGTAAAGGAACGATGTATATCTCAGCTGGGAAAACTCAGTGATGAAGTAACTGAACTCAGGAAAGAATTAAAAATAAAACATTATTTTTCGATGGCATATTTTTCTTTTTTAACGTTTTTATTTAAATTCCCACTAGTTAACAATGTTATATTAGTTTCAGGTGCACTATGTAGTGTATCAACACTTCCATACACCACTCAGTGCTCATCTTGACAGGTGCACAACTTAATCCCTATCACCTTTTTAACAGATCACCCCACCTACCTCCCTTGTGGTCACCTTCAGATCGCTCTCTATAGTTAAGAGTCTGTTTCTTGGATTTCCTCTCACTTCTTTTTCCCCCTTTGCTCATTTGTTTTGTTTTGTTTCTTGAATTCCACATGTGAGTGAAATCATATGGTATTTGTCTTTCTCTGACTTAGTTCACTTAGCATAACACTCCATGCCCAGTGTGGAGCCAGATGCAGGGCTCAGTCCCTATGGTGAGATAATGACCATGAGATCGTGTCTTGAGCTGAAATCAAGAGTCAAAGGTTTCACTGACTGAGCCACCCAGGCGCCCCTATTCTGTCAATTTTTAATTGGGTTATTAAATTTTTGGGTGTTGAGTTTGATAAGCTCTTTAGATAACCCTTTATCAGATATGTCAATTACAAATATCTTTTCCCATTCCACAGGTTGCCTTTCAGTTTTGTTGGTTGTTTCCTTCACTGTGCAAAAGCTTTTTTATTTTGATGTAGTCCCAATAGTTTCTTTTTGCTTTTATTTCCCTTGCCATAGGAGACCTATCTTCAAAGAAGTTGCTACAGCTGATGTCAAAGAAGTTTGCCTGTGTTCTCTTCCAGGATTTTGATGGTTTCGCGTCTCACATTTAGGTCTTTGATCCATTTTGAATATATTTTTGTGTGTGCTGTAAGAAAGCAGCCCAGTTTCATTCTTTTGCATTTTACTGTCCAGTTTTCCCAACACCATTTGTTGAAGTGACTATCTTTTTCCCATTGGATATTCCTTCATGCTTTGTCCAAGATTAATTGACCATATAGTTTTGAGTTCATTTGTGGGAAAAGAAAACATATTTTAGAACCAAAGCAAAAAGAACACAGAATAAACACAACACAACAGATGCCACTGTGAGGTGTGAGATGAAAAAAGGAGGTCTTTTAAAATTAAAAAAAAATTGAGAGTCAATGAAAATCCAGCAAATATATATATATATACAGGTACATAATAAAAGTCCCTAAAATATAAAACTCCAGATTATATATTAAATTGTATAAATACTAAATTATTTAGCATTTTAATAAATAATCACATAATGATATTAATTATCATAATTACATTTTCTGAAGTCAAAAGACTTGAAATTACATATTATAAAGACATATTGAATATTTGGAAAAATTACCCAGAGTAACCAACCTGAAACATATTTTAGAAAAACTATTGGACTTTGAAGAAAAAGAAACTTCCTTGAGGCATCAGGCAAAAAAACAAATTATTTATTATTTATAAGAGAAAGAAGTTCAGTATGTCATCAGAGCTTTGCATACTAATTCTTTATTCCAGAGGAAAATGGAATAATGTTTTTCTGGCACTCAAAAAAAAATAATGTGCGCCAAAGATTATATATTTTGCCAAAATGACTTACAAATCAGGCCACAAGCTGTTGTCAACACCCAAAACTCTGAAACTTTTTTCTTTGAACACTTTCTGAGGAATTTACTAGAGAATGAGCTTCAGGTAGTCAAAATGGCAGAGATACAGACATAATGTCTACCAGAGAGTTTAAGATTTAATGCTAGAAGAGAGACTGTGTAGTGTGTATACTACACATATTCTACAATATAGGTAGAAGAGCTCTATTAAAAAAATGGAAATAGAATAGGAAGTACATAAGAAAAACAGAGCAAGCATACTGTTTGCTTTATAGTATTAACTAGGATAACACAAATGTACAGCCAAATAATCTTCCACAAAGTGGGAAAGAAAATCCAATGGAAAAAAAGACAGTCTCTTCAAGAAATAATGTTAGGAAAACCAGAGAGCAACATGCAGAAAGATGAACCTGGACCACTTTCTTGCACCATACACAAAAATAAACCCAAAATGGGTGAAATACCTATATATAAGACAAGAAGCCATCAAAATACTAGAGGAGAAAATAGGCAACAACCTCTTTGACCTCGGCCACAGCAAATTCTTACTAGAAATGTCTTGAGAGGAAAGGGAAACAAAAGCAAAAATGAACTATTGGGACCTGATCAAGACAAAAAGCTTCTGCACAGTGAAGGAAACAATCAACGAAACTAAAAGGCAACTGATAGAATAGGAAAAGATATTTGCAAATGACATATCTGATAAAGGGTTAGTATCCAAAATTTATAAGGAACTTATCAAAACTCAATACCCAGAAACAAATAATCCCGTTAAGAAATGAACAGAAAATTTGGATACATATTTTTCCAAAGAACACACACAGATGGCAAACAGACATATGAAAAGATGCTCAGCATCACTCATCATCAGGGAAATACAAATCACTGCTGGTGGGAATGCCAACTGGTGCAGTTACTCTGGAGAACAGTATGGAGGCTCCTGGATAAATTGTATTTATCCAAAGGATACAAAAATGCTGATTCAAATGGGCACATACACCCCAATGTTTATAGTCGCATAATCAACAATAGCCAAATTATGAAAACAGTCTAAATGTCCATCAACTGATGAATGGATAAAGATGTGATGTGTGTGTGTGTGTGTATACACACACAATGGAATACTAGTTACGTTGTGATCAAAAAGAAAGAAATCTTGCCATTTTCAACAAGGTGGATGGACTTAGAATATTTTATGCTAAGTGAAATAAGTCAGAGAAAGATAAATATCATATGATTTCATTCATATGTGGAATTTAAGAAACATAACAGATGAACATAGGAGAAGGGAAGGAAAAATAAGATATAAACAGAGAGGGAGGTAAACCATAAGAAACTCTTGAATACAGAGAACAAACTGAGGGTTGCTGGTGGGATGTTGGGTGGAAGAAAGGGCCAAATGAATGATGGGCTTTGAGGAGGGCATTTGGTGAGCGCTGGATGTTACATGTAAGTGATGAGTCACTAAGTTCTACTCTTGAAATCATAATTTTAAAAAAAAACTAGGATGAAAAGGACAACACTGCAAATCAGATACTGGAAAGGTGGGTATAGAGAGAATAAATATATTATATGAAGATATTTATTATATAATTAGAATGCAATTGCAAACCTCAAATACAAAAAAAGACATTAAAAACAGTCTCACCCCAAAAAAGTGAACAAGATTTCATATAGAATACTGTATATTAAATATGGCATATGAACTGCAACTGTTTTGTAATGTAGTTGACAGAAGAACACAAACATATATAAATGAAGAAATAATAAAAGTGAAACTATAATTTTTTGAATATTTATGGGGGAGAGAAAGAATAGCATAGAGAGTACAGGGATAAATACTTAGCTTCTTGGAATATACATTGTTTTGTAGTTTTAACTTCTAGAATTATTTAAATGTTTTAAATAATTATAAACTAAAATTAAATTTTAAATAAGACATTCCTAAAAATAGAAAACAAACCTAAAATAAGTCAAAATTATAATTACAGTTTTTATTTCACCAAGAAGATTCGTTTATATTTGCTAACAGTGCAAGTTGTGACTTGGGGTTTATAAAAATAACATTTAATAGCTGGGCTCCAAATAAAAAGACATGGCTCTTGACTTTTTCCTCCACGTCTAACAAACATAAGAAAAAAAATCTTAAGTGAAATGAGTCAACCCAGGGAAATGTTACCCACTATCTTTTCTTTTTCATTTCTCTAGGAAAATAAAGGAAAGTCTGGAGTGCTTCCCTGTTAAGTTAAATAACTTGATCCATACACTTGCCCAAATGACAGCCACAAGCCCTGCCAAATCTGCTTCACAGACTCCTTCCCAGGAAATCTGTATGCTGAGTGCAACCAGATCAATTCAAAGAGCGACAATTTTAGGGTTCAGTAAGAAAACCAGTAATGTAAGTCTCAAGTTTGTCATTCTGACTTAAATATCATTTGACCTCATCTGACTTCCCTTCACTATGCTATACATCCTTCCTTATATCATGATTTTTTTAAAATATGCAAATGAAAAATCAGTTACAGTTTGAGCAGAAGTGCCATTAAGGAGGATGTTCTAAGGAGAAATCATAACAACCAGAGCTATTAGTAGAGAACCATCAAAGAGAACAGTTCCTGCCCGTAGTAGACCATAAATCAAGAGCTAATTAAAGTGTCTGGATGAAAAGAAGAGCAGAAATTAGGCAGTCTGTTCCCAGCACATAAGATTATGATATCTTTATATACTGTGTTTATAGGTAATTTTTGCCTTTATAAATTGCATCATTTTGCTCTTGTGATGACTCTTTGTGGAAAAGTTCTTGCTTTGAAACCAGCTTTGAAAATGTATCACCGGTTGATAATGCCACCTTTTGATTTCTATTTATTTTCTGCAGCTGTATCTAATCCAGGTGACACATGGTAACAATGAAATGAGCCTGACAGAAAAATCATTTGACCAGTTTTCAAAACTTCACGGCCAACTTCAGAAGCAGTTTGCATCATCGACTCTCCCAGAGTAAGGCACTTCCTCCCCTGTGTTTTGCCTGCGGTTCTTGTCCTTGAACATAAGGAAAAATTATGGTTATGGGATTTTCTATTTGTGAGCAACGCAGCGTTCTGACTCCAATGCCATTGAGCCTATCCCAGCAGAGTCTGGATGGCTCCCAGAGTAAAGAACCTTTGTCTCATAAAACAGAACAAGGTTTGCAATTTCTCTGTTTGCCTCTAGACATTGATTTCATAGACAGAAAAATTCAGAAGTGATTTCATTTTTTCATCAATTACCAGGAATATTGTTTTCTTTGCCTGTTTTTAAATTTAATCTTTTGGGTTTTTTTTATAAAAATAAAATTGACATTGAAAATGTAGAACTAAAGTGGATATATCTACTCTTTCAACAAATAACTGCAATAAAAATCTCTGATATATTTATTTTCCATACCAGAAAAAATTAATTACTATAACTTAGCATATAAGTAAAATTTACTAATACCAACTCAGTTTTGTTATTAATGGTTAACTTTGACTCGGATTATCTAAATCTAATTTGTCATTATGTTCATTTTCAAACAATCTTCAAAACCATTTTTTTTGTTCATGTTATCATTTTAAAAATATTTAAGTATAAACAAATTAAGAATATAACTGAAAACTACTTCTGTTCAAATAAACCTTCTAAAATTCATCACTTAGAACTAGCCAAATTTAGGTCATAGATTTCAATGTATACAAAAGGAGCATCTTGACTTTAAAAAGAAGAACTTGCCAGAAATTGTATTGGCACTTAGGTAAGTCAAATGTTATTTTATCTACACTGAGATTTTTGTTAAGTAAATGGTCCTTTAATACTGTGATGTCCATATCTGACCTGACATACTTTGTAAATGTGGACTTTTACTAGGCTTTCAGGATTTAGTCGCTTTCCAAATTACAAATCTAGGCAAAGTTACCAATGAATGGAGAGATACGGGGCAATACTGAGGAGTGAATAGTTCATTACTTGCAGACGTTACAGAAATTTTGAAATACAGATGCTTTGAACAGTAGAAAGTCAACAAATTAGAGTAAGGATATGTTCAAGAGACTGAGAGGAAAGGAGTGTCATTATGGAAACATAAAAGCAACACTGACCTAAAGAATTACTGAACATCATCTGATAAAATAACAGAAAAGGAGTTGCTGGCAAAACAAAAAAAGTTTGACTCAAATATTAAATTCAACATCAGTGGCTGCCATTGTACTCTACTAATTAATGATTTAAAATGTTAATCATTGTTAAATGGCTGCCCTTTTTTTTTGGTTTCAAGAACTTCTCTGTTCTACACTTTTATCTGTCCACTACATTTAGCATAACTTGTAAAACCTTAAAAATGTTAATAATCTCTCTCCATATGTCTCTTCTTGATTTCTCAGCTTTATTTAGTTAGGATTATGCCTTGTTCAACAACTACTACCTGGCAATGGTATTTAAATTGGTATCTGTACGAAAGAAGCAAAAGTATGAAGAAGGCAGCAGCAAGACTGCAGTCCGAGGAAGCTGCTAGATAGTTCCTAAAAAGATGTATTTAGCCAGAAAAATATGTCACCCAATGCTAACTATTAACAGGTCATTCCACTCAGTAATTGGTCTTAATCCCATCTAACCCATTAAAATGAAACTTCCTTCAGGGAGCGCAGAGGAAATTCTGCAAGTCAGACTCTTGAGGAAAATGATACTTTGTTCCAAAAGACTAAGACCAGATGGAAACATATGTCACTTGATAAAATGTTTAATTTTGTTAATGTAGAAATATCTCTAATGAACTCAGAAGAAACAATACAATCTGACCTTTTTGAAAAATTATGCATCATTAATTTAAGAAAGTATTTATGAAGGCTCCACGTGTATTTAAAAGACAAAATGTGTGGTCTTCCATAAATACAGTAAGAAGGAACATATATATTAGTTTAATAGGTTAAATTAAATTAGCATTAATGTAAGTTAAAATAGCACCACAATCATGTTAATGAAACTTTCAGGATTGATCATGTGTTCTATGTTTTATTTTTTAATGTTTTCTTTGGCCCCTCCACCTGACGCAGCTATAACTTTATGAACAACCCTAAGATACAGAGAGAGATTTCAAAATAATAAAGATACACTTCTTTCTTTCTTTCTTTCATTTATGTTTTAAACAGGTTTCCTCACTGGTGGCACTTACCTTTTACAAATTCAGACCACAAACGATTCAGAGATCTAAATCATTACATGGAACAGATATTAAATGGATCATATAAAGTTGCAAATGTATGTTACAACTTACTTTATATTTTTAATATAAATATCAACTATTTTATGCATTATTACTAGAAATGTTTTTAAATACCTTGTGATAACCTTCTTTTACTCCTATATCCATTCAACAAATGAGTGAATGATTAATATGTATATAATTCCTGAACAGAAAACTGGAACACCAAAAGAGGTATATAGCATCTTGACCTCAAATAACCTGAAGTAATACTATGATTAATGGACTCTCAGTGCTTGTAAGGACCTTAGTGTTTTAGGGGATTAAGAATTATTTCTGACTCTGATGGTAAGAAGTTCTCAAGGAGAATAGAGCATCTGAACTGGGTCTTTAATACCGGGTAGGATTTTTAAAAGATTTGGTTCAGGGAAGCGTTTCAAGTAAAACCAAACAATATAGGAATGGTCATAAGTTTTTTAAAAAAGAATATCATTAGATTCTATTGCTCCTGTGACAAATTACCACAAATTTGGGAGTTTAAAACAACATAAATCTATTATTTTTCCGTTTGGAAGGTCAGAATTCTGAAAATGGGTCTTAAGGGACTAAACCCAAGGTGCTGGTAGACTGGTTCTTTCTGGAAATAGTAGGAAGAAAATTCATTTCCTTGCCTTCTCAATTTCTAGAGATTTCCTGCATCCCTTGGCTTGTGCCCTTTCAAGGAATTGCACACTGACATCTGCTCCTGTCCTCACATCTCTTTCTCTGGCTCTTGCTCTGACTCTCCTTGTGTTGACACTGGGCCCACCTGGATAATCCAGAAAAATCTCAATATTTCAAGATTCTTAATTTAATTGTATCTGCAAAGCCCCTTTTGCCACGTAAGGTAACATATTCAAAGGTTCTAGGGATTAGAATGTGGACATCTTTGGAGGGCCATAATTCTATCACAGAGATACATGAAAAAAGTGCAAGAACACCATTCAGTTGGCTTTCACCATTCTTGTGAGGTCGCTGTGAAAGGAAAATTAACCAGCAAGGAAGTTGGGGCCAGGTTGCGAACAGCTAAAGCTAAGGCTTAGAAGATAGTGTAAAAACAAGAAGAAGAAGATAGTGTAAAAACAACGTTCCTCAGCACTCTGAGAGATCCTGGCCCTCCTTACTGGACTGGAACTACGTTCTTTTAGTTTTTAGTGTTTCAAATTGTATAACATGTATCCAGAAAAGTCTACAGAAGACTTTAGGGTTACATTAGAAAAAAACACCTAGTCCCTGCCAATTTCACTCAGGATATTCACTATAGGAACCTTCAGCTGCCATATAAGAAATTGAGCTCCCTGGAGTCAGCCAGGTGGAGAAACAATACGGAGAGATCAAATAGAGAGATGTCCAGGGAGCAGCTCTGCTGATGCCCAGTTGAGGTTCTAGCCTTTAGTTAGCTTCAACGTCACAGTATTTTGAGTAGATGATGTCCAGCACCAGTCACCAAATGACTTTAAAATTTTTTTTAATGTTTATATTATTTTTGAGAGAGAGAGAGGGAGACAGAGCACGAGCAGGGGAGGGAGAGAGAGAGGGAGAAACAGAATCTGAAGCAGGCTCCAGGCTCTGAGCTGTCAGCACTGAGCCAGACCAAGGCTCGAACCCACGAAGCGTAAGATCATGACCTGAGCTGAAGTCGGACGCTTAACCGACTGAGCCACCCAGGCACCCCACCAAATGACTGTTTATTAGAGACAAGCAAGGACACCCTAGGGGAGTTCAGCCAACCCTCAGAACTGGGAGACAATGAGAAAATGACCGTTTAAACCAACAGTGCAGGGATAGGCTATCTCTAAGGTACTCTGTTATATGTTATATGGTATTCTCTGACATGAATATATGGCAGTTTGTAGATTCCTCTCTACAGAGGCATTTGGAATATTTCCAAGTTGAAATTATTACAAATAATGCTGCTAAGAACATTCTACTATTTGTATGTCTCTTAATGCACATGGGTAGGTCATTCACCTACGAATAGAATTTCTGGATTTTAATATACGCTTATCTTCAGCATTATAGGCAATGACCAATTTACTGTCCTATTTGCAATGAATAAGAGTTCCCATTTTCCACTACCTTTTCTATACTTGGTATTGCCAGTATTTCTAATGTTGGCCATTTTGGTGAGTATGCTTCTCATTGCATTTTAGTTTGAATTTTCCTAACTACTAATGAGACGGAGCACCTCTTCATATGTTGTTTGGTCATTTGGATATCCTCTTTGATGCAATGCCAGCTCGTGTCTCTTGCCCCTATTCTATTAAATTATATGACATTCTTTTATTAATTTATAGTATTTTTCATATATTGTGGATAAAAGTCCTTTGTTAATTAAATATATCATAATGATTTTTCTTCCACTCTATGTTTTGTCCTCTTGTTCTCTTTATTATGTCTTCTGATAAACAGAAATGCTTATTTTTAATATCATAAAATACATTGATATTTTCCTAGAAGATTAGAACATGTCCTATCTCACTGTCATAAAGACAATATAGAATACTGGCTTCTAGAAGCTTTACTGTTTTGCATTTCACATTTAAACTTATAATTGGTCTAGAATTGACTTTAGTGCATGATATGAGTCATTCTTATTTTTTTCTATGTAGACTTTTCATTGTTCCAACACTATTTAAAGTACTTTCCTTTTCTCACTACTCTGCTGTGATACCTTTGTGATGATTTAAAATATCCATGTAGGTATGTGTCTACTTCAGGGCTCTATATTTTATGCCAGGGATTTTTTTGTCTACCTTGTGCCAACAGTCTTAATTTCTGTAGCTTTATACTAAATCTTGACATCTAGCAGAGTGACTTCTCCTATTTTACCCTTATTCATAAACAATAGTTTGACTCTTCTTGTACTTTTGCATTTTCATGTAAATTTTAAATTTTTCTTGTCAATACCATGCAAAAGCCAACTGGGATTTTAGTCAGAAATGTATCTTAGTATCTTACAATCCATTATCAGGTACCTATTTAAATCTTTAAAACATTTTTTTTCTCATAGTAGTTTATCTATACTATCTTAAAAATACTTTATTTTACTTGGTATGGTACCTTTTAAAAAAAATTTTTTTTACCAGTCTATAGATACAACTGATTTTGTATAATGACATTTTTCTCAACAACCTTACTAACTCACTTCTAATTCTAATAACTTATCTGTATTTTCAAATATTCTACTTACAATAATATTGTCTGCAAATAACAAGAGTTTTTTTCCCCCAATATTTATATCTGTCTTTTTTCTGTATATTTTGTACTCTCGAGGGCCTCCAAGTGGTGGTGGCAGACATGCTTGTGCTATCCCCGAATTCAGATCTAAAGTTCCCCATTAAGTACACAAGTTTTTGCAGATACCCTCTATTACTATAAGAAAGTTTCCTTCTGTCGTAAAAAAGCGTTTTTATAATAAAGAATATTGAATTTATCAATTTTTTTCTGAATCTTTTGAGAGGATCAATTGTTTCTCTCCTTTATTCCACTGGTGTGATGAATTACACTGATGGATTTTCTAATTTTAAACAAATTTGCATTCCTAGGAAGCACTCTACGTGGTCCTTTTTATGTATTGCTGAATTTGATATAACATTTTCTTTAGCATTTTTTGCCACCTTTGTTTATGACAAAGACCAAAGATGTTCTATCTTATAATGTCCTTAACAGGTTAGAATGGAGAATATGCTGGCCACATAATATCAGTTGCAAAGACTTCTTGCTTTTCTCCTTTTCTCTGGAAGAATTTGTATAAAATTGGTTCTATTTCTTTAATTAGGAAAGCTATGTAAGTCTGGAGGTCCAATTTATTTAATAGTTATAGGACAATTCACATTTTCTATTTCTTTCTGGGTCTAAGTTACAGTTCTCTAGAAATTTGTCCTTATTTATTGGCATGAAATTATTCAGAGCATCTTCTCACCGTCTTTTTAACATTAATTGGCTCTGAAAAGATGTCTACTCTTTAGTCCTTGCATATGTCATTTTCTAATCAGTCTTGCTGGAGGATTATGAATTTTACAAATCTTTGCAAAGGATGAAATGTAGGATTTATGGACCCTTTATTGTATTATCTTTCTATTTTATTTATGTTTGATGTTTATTATTTCCTTTCTTGTTCTTCCTTTAGTTATAATTTGTTGCTCTATGTATTACATTCTCAGATAGTTACCTGTTTTTTTTTTTTCACCCTGTCCTCATTTACACATTGAAAATTCTAGGGGTGCCTGGGCAGGTCAGTCAGTTAAGCATCCAACTTCAGCTCAGGTCATGATCTCACAGTTCATGGGTTCGAGCCCTGTATCATACTCTGTGCTGACAGCTCAGAGCCTGGAGCCTGCTTTGGCTTCTGTGTGTGTGTCTCTCTCTGCCCCTCTGCTGTTTGCACTCTGTCTCTCTCTCTCTCTCAAAACTAAACATTAAAAATTTTTTAAATAATAATAATATAAAATAAATAATAATAAATAAAAGTCTAAATCCCCCTGCCTAATCAAGACTTAATTGACCCCACAAGTTTTTATATACAGTATTATATTTTCTTTATCTTTCTTCTAAAATATAAATGTTCATTATGATTTTCCCTGAGACTTAAGGATTAAGTCTGTTTAACACACTTGAGTTTTACATGCTATACTAATAAATATACCTCTATATCATTATTCCATAAAATTAATAAGCACTTGCTGTTTTACATAATATCTTTTTAATATTGCCCGCATATTTCATCTTCGTTGCTTCTGTAACTCTGACTTTATATCGGGGATTATTTAACCTCTACCTGAAGAACACATTTTATTATTTCCTTTAATATGAATTTGCTGGTTGAAAAATTTCTAAAAATATATTTGTCTGAAAGTTTTCATTTTGTCTTCATTCTCAGAAGATATTTTAGCTGACTATGGTATTTGGATAGATAGCAATGATTTTATTTTAAAATCTTTAATGTTATCAGTTCATTGTCTTTTAACTTCCAGTGATTCTCTTTCAAATCCACCTGTTATAATTTTGTTGCTTC